CACAAATCGTAAATGTGGTTAATTTTCACAAAGTGAACACATTCATTAACCTAGTGTCCGGATGAAGAACTAGAACAGCACCAGTCTCCCGGAAACCCTCTTTTGCCAGTTATAGCCACTACTCCTCCAAGAGTAACTAACTACTATCTTGACTTCTATTGCCATGCTTCTGTTTAGCCCATTTTTGAACTTTATATAAATATGTACTCTCTTGTATCTTCCACTCCTCATAACATCAGTGAGATTCATCATGGTGTGGGGAGTAACAGTAGTTCATTTATTCTCACTGCATCCAGACCACTGTGTGAATGTACACAATTTATCCCCTCTACTGTTGATGGCTTCTTGAGTTTCATCCAGTTTGGAGCTATTACAAGTAGTGCTGCTGGTTTTGCGCCTTTCTTTTGGTGAACATATTTATGCATTTCTGTTAGGTATAAACTTAGGGGTAGAAATACTGGATTATAAATTGTGTGAATGTTTAACTGTGGTATCTACCAACTGTCCAAATTATACTCCCACTAGCAGAGTTCCTACTGCAGCACTTCCTTGGCCAAAACTTACTATGTGTCTTTTTCTTTTAAATGTTATTTTTTGTTTGTTTTGTTTTTTTGTGTTGTTTTTCTTTTTATTTTAGAGAGAGGAAGGGAAAGAGAGAAAGAAACATCGATTTGTTATTGCACTTACTTATGCATTCACTGGTTGCTTCCTGTATGTGCTGTGACCAGGGATCAAACCTGCAACCTTGGTGTATCTGGATGATGCTCTAACCAACTGAACTACCCAGCCAGGGTCCTTAATTTTACTTATTCAAATTTTACTTATTCAAATTTATTCATTTTGTTCGTTATGATTAGAAGCTTTTTGTGTCCTATTTAGGAAATTTGGCCTATTCCAGGTTCATGAAGTTTAAGTCCTCCACTTTTGTTGCAATTAGAACATTGAGGCAGAAAGTACCCTTTACTCTGATCTGTTGGTTCTTACCCTTTTGCAAATCCTGGCTCCCTATGAAAATCTGGCTAAAACGTTGGACCCTCTGCACAGAAGTGCACATGGGCGTCTACACAGCAAACTGTTACAGTTTCAAGGAGTTCACAGACTGACCTTGAAGCCTATCCATGGGCTCCTAACCTAGTCCAAGCCAGTCATTGTGCAGATGAGGAAATCGAGGCCAGAGAGGGAGAGTTAACATTGTATGTTTGTGACCCAGCTAGGACTAGAATTCAGGTCTCTTGACTGATATTCCAGTGCTCTGTGTAACACAGTTCCCTGCTGCAGTCTCTCTGAGAATATACCTCTGGCAGAGCCATTGAAGAGAGAGACTGTTTTTAATTAAGGGAGGTTTCGATGGACTAACAGCAAAAAAAAAAAAAAAAAAAAAAAAGCTACATGGTGTCTCTGATGTACTTCGTGTATTTACCTTAAATGTTAAGCTCCAAGGAGTCTGTGAGTAAGTTTTTGAAGTTTAACTGGAACTTGTCATAGTCGATGCATCTTCCTCCAGCTGTGACTCAGTGCCCTGGGGTTGCTGTGTTCAACCTTACCCTATGCAACTACCTGCATTCTGCTTAGTGTTTTGATTGGTTCTGGCTGGAATTGTAAAAAGCACATTATGTAATAACTTTCCAGTCTCAATGCTCATGTGGGTGAGGTTTACCAGAGTAGTTGCTCCAGGGAGAAAATTAAAAGGGGTGGAGGCAAGGAAGGAGCTCTGTTTCTTGACTAGGCTATGTCAACTTGCAAGTAGTCAGTCAGTCAGTAGACACGCCAGGCCAGTTTCTAAAAGTATTTGCTAGTGATTTTACTGGTTGGTACCTTTTCTTTTAGCCTGCCACTACCTACAGTGGCCTCTTAAAAGGTCCTAAGTGGACTGGGCAGCTTACAGGTAACATGGCCAGGTATTTTCAAGAGATCACTCAAACCCCAGTGCTAGCAGTCTCTGGAACTAATCCTGTTACCTTACCGGCAGTGCATACTGCTAGGGGTGTGCCTTTCTTTCTTTCTTTCTTTCTTTCTTTCTTTCTTTCTTTCTTTCTTTCTTTCTTTCTTTCTTTCTCTTTCTTTTTTTAAATCCTCACCCAAGGATGTTTTTTCCATTGATTTTTTTAGAGAATGGAAGGGAGGGAGGGAGGAGGAGAGAGAGAGAGAGAGAGAGAGAAACATTGATGTGAGAAAAACACATTAATTGGTTGCCTCCCACATGCACCCCGACCGAGGCAGGGATCGAACCTGCAACCCAGGTACATGCCCTTGACCACAAATCGAACCTGTGACTCTTCCTTGAGCAGGTCGACACTCTATCCACTGAGCCACACCGGCCAGGGCGAGGAGTGTATTTCATACTTGCAGCACAGACCACAGTTTGTTTCTCATGGTGAAAAAGACTAGTTGGATCTTTGGGCCACACCCTGAAACACAGACAAAGTGATCTCATTCTCAACACAAAAGAAGTCAAGCCCATAATACTGTCTGCAAATAGGATCCTATTAGATCTGACAGACAAATAACCCCATTTATTCTATCCCATTTTACTTCTTTCCCATAAGCTCCCCAGAGAGCTTCTCCAGTTTCATCTGGCACTTGTGAGTAAGTCGATGGAGGGTGCTGGAAGATCAGATATCTGAATGAGGTGCATCTGTTCTGTCATTTCAAAAGCATTTTCCAAGTACCGACTATGTGCTGGGTACCATACTAGATGACGGTATGAATAGGACAAGATCCCTGTCCTCAAAGAACTCCCAGTCTAGGCAGAGGGATGGGCTCTGAGCACCGTACAGTGGGGTGAGTGCTGCGCTGTGTGTCAGCACAGGTGGTGTGGGACTAGGAGAAGCACTGTCTGAATTGGCCCAGGGAGGCACTTCTAGAGAAGAAATCTGAACGGAGATTTGATATCTACCCAGCAGAAAGCAGTGGAAATGACATTCACTCTGGGCAGATCTGTGGCACACGCAGTGACACCGAGGCAGTGAGCTGGGGTTGGTTGGGGTACAGGCACCGGGAGTTAGAAAGGGCCAAGGATGCCTGCTTACATACAGATCTTGTCTTTGTTATTCCTTTCTAAGAACTGCATTCAAAGGCTGCCAATATGCTCATATCTCAAAAGATTCACTTATCCCAGAAACTCAGGTACCTTTGACATCATACCACCGTTTTCATAAATGCCTAAATCAGAATATTTTCCCCTCACATTGATCATGGTGACCTTTAATAACCTTTGGCTTCCAGGGTCTCCTAGGCACCATCATCACTGCTCCACTTCATAGACAAGTCTGTCATCCAAATATCACAAAACCTCTAGCTGAGCACCACTCAATAGACCTCAGCTTTCTCACTGACTCCTTTTTTTCTCTTTTAGGCATGAAGAAATCATTGATTTATAGTTCACTAAAACTGCATAAAATGTGGAAAGGATGGCTAAGGAAAACATCCTGATTTTGCTTGCTTTTTATACACGTATAGATGAATAAAGTGTTCCTTTTTGACAAAACAGTGTTTGTTACTTTGACCCATTGTTTGAATTTGTAGATACCTTGGTTTGCATAATACAACAGGTACTCGAATAACAGTGTTTCTTTCAGTGTCATTTCATTATGACATTGATGAGGGAAAAAAAATCAATTCCTGGCCAGAGCCACTGTCTGCAGCATTTGTACACTCTCCTCATGTCTGTGTGGGTTTTCTCCGATTCCTCTGGTTTCCTCCCACGCCCCGAAGATGTGCACATGAGGGTCATCTGCAAGTCTCAGAGAGAGAGAGTGTGTGTGTGTGTGTGCGCGCGCACCCTCACGTGTGCATGTGCACCCTGCATTGGAAGGGCATCCTGTCCAGGGTGGGTTCCAGCCTTGCACCCAGAGATGCCAAGATAGGCTCCTGCCACTTGCCACCTAGAACTGTAATAAGTGGATTCGAAAATAATTCTCTTGTGTTTATTTATCTTTCTTAAATGTATGTATAGCTCACATTTATTTCAGTGTTTAATATTAGAAGAGTTTTGGTCTTTAGAAGTTTGGTAATGTTCTCATGAGCAGAAATATGCCATAGGAACTTAACTCTTGTTTATCAATTAGCTTAGGGTAAAATTGGTTTTGTTATACATTGTTTTGTTTAAAGTTGCATTTCCCAAGAACCTTTCAATGATGTTAAGTGAGCACTTACTGTACTTGATTTTGTAAATTTATGTTAGATATTTATGCAGGAGAGAACCAAATATCTTTGAGGACTTAGCATGAGAAGAGAAGGATCCTCTTCATGAACAAAACCACCTGGGTCCTGCTTTCATAAGAGCTTTAGCTCTGGTCTGCATTTTTTGGTACATGCACACCAGAGACCTGAGAAATTGTGTGTATGCTTATGGACATACAGCCCTGGGGGTTACAAGTGGGGGTAGTTTGGCTCTCTCTGCCTAGTCTCCATCCTGTTCACTTAGTTTTTTTAGAATAAGAGCTCACAAGTGTGCCATCAACATTTTCTTGAATTTGTTTTTTTGTGTGTTTTTAAATTTTTTTTTTCTTTATTGATTTTAGAGACAGGAAAGGAGAGAGAGAAACATCGATGAGAGAGAACATTGATTGGCTGCCTCCTGCATGTCCCCACTGAGGTTTTGGCCCACAACTTGGGCATGTGCCCTGACCGGGAATCAAACTGGCAACCCCTTGGTGCATGGGTCGACACTCAACCACTGAGCCACACCAGCCAGGTTGGACTTGATTTTTTATGTTTCTCTTTGTTTTCCATGAAAGTGTATGACAGTGACTTGGAGGAGGAGCCTGTGACAGACCCCTTGCAAAGCCTTCCCTATTGTTACAGTTAGGAATGTTTAGGTAACAAAACCCACTGTAGAGTGCCTTGAACAACAAACGACTCATTAACTCAAAGAACTGAAAAGCTACAGGTGTAGTGGACTTCAAAGTTGGTGATTCAGCAAGTTAATACAATCATCCAGGACTCAGTTTCTCTCTCTCTCCTCTTTCTGCCCTTTGCTGTGTTGGCATCATATCAAGACTGGCTCCCCGCTTCTGAGACTGCAGCAACAACTTCAAGGGCTATATGCTTTCCCATCCGCGTTTGGGGAAACAGGGTTCCTTTAAGAAGCCCTCTTAGAAAAGCAAAAAAACTTTCCAGCAGCTCCCACAAGCCTCCTTCTGGTTTCCTGGGCCTTAATTGGGTTACCTGCCCATCCCCAAGCCACTAACAGGCTGAAGGATGGAACCAGGCTGATGAACTTTGCCCCGCCCAAGAGTCAGCCTCCCTTCAAGCCCATGGGCTTCAGGGAAGGAGTGGTTGCCTGGATGGAAACCAGGGAAGGCTATTGGGAGACAACCATCTCGTCCACCTCGATCATCACCTCAGCCTCCAGGCTAGCCTCGGTTGTGAGGAAGCCCAGGCCACGTGGAAAGGCCAAGAGTACGTGTTCCAGCTGACAGCATCAACTGCCAAACGAGTGAGCCTTTTGTGGTAACTCTCTCTAGTCACTGCCTGACTGCAGCCAAGCAGGACCCCAAACCATAGCAGCGTAGCTGAGCCCAGCCAACTCCCAGAACTCTGAGGGAGAAGAAGAAAATTATTATTGTTAAAAGCCTTTATGTTTGAGGAAACTTTTTATGCAGCATTTGATAATTGGCCCAATGGCCCTGCTACTGTGGGAGCTGCCAAAGAGGTGCAACTACTGTCCATATGCCACTTGGGGACCACGAACAACTGCTGCTGCTGATGGAGTCAAACCCAGGAACTTCCTATTTCCCCTACCCTCTGGTCTCCCACCGTTGACTCAACCTGGTAAGAAGGCCTGGGAAATGTAGTGGAGGACAAAAGAATGGGTGTGTAGCTGAGGCCCAACAGATAAATAACTGCCATGTCCATTCCTTCAGTGACTGAAAATCCATGTACACCCTTCAATTCATAAAGCTTTCTACACTAATGGCAGCCTCCAGCTCCCACCTAACGTGATGCAACTACCGTTTGTACTAAAGAAAATGTTCTTTTGTACAAATTTGTATTATGCTCATTTTCTGCTTTCTGGCAGAAAAGAGCATTGCATTATATCCATCTCTGGTTGATGCTAATTCCTCTTGTAATCACAATCTCACCTGGCTATCATATAACCTAGAAACCAACCTGTAATTTAACCACCACCAAAACTCCTTATAGGAAATAATAGGAGAATGAAGAACGTTAAAAGTAGATGTGTGCCTGTCAGTGATATGGAGATAACTAGAAGTAATGGCAACTATTGGTTGAGCCCTTACAGTGTGTCAGGCACTATCCTAAGCAGCCCTCTGCTGGAAGATAGGATAACTCAGTGCCAGTGTTGCTCTCAGAGAGGTTGCTAGGACCTTCAAGTTGAGGATCTACAGACCTTACCATGTGAGGAAGCAGGGCTGAAATGATGGGCCCAGAGTAACAACCAATCTTATCTCATTTGTATATTGAATGACAAGTTTTTCACCATTCTTTTATAGAAATTGGAGAAGCAAATATGACTCCTAAAATCGGAAGGACTTTTAAGAGGGAATTTGCAGTGATTACCTATTTTCCTTCTTTGCTGCAGATATGTAGCCCATCATCTGGCAAGAGGCCCACAGACACTGGTGTCCTTATGCAAGTATAACAAACAGAAGTTTCAGTCTATTGATACAGCCACTTCCCTTGAGGACACCCTAACACTGGGGACATAAGTCTTAAGTGGTTTCCCTGAGAAACAGACTCAAGAGCGTCGGCCTGCAGGAGGTTTAATCAGAATAAACTCTCAAAGTGAGGGCAGCAGGATCAGGCAGAAGGAGAATAGGGCTGGGATGCAGCTGTAGTAGAGACCTCAGCTGTTCCTCCATGGAAGCTCTGGAGGTGGGTGGCCTTGCAGAGTGTTCCCAGCTGAGGCAAGGCAGCCGGCCTTTGTACCAAGGGTACAACTGGTTATTGAATGTGAGGCCTACCCTTGGCCAGGTGACTTCCTTTGGCCAGTGGGAAGTCCCACAGACTCAGCTGTGAGCCATCAGCCATCAACAATCCTAGCAGCTGGAGGAATGTTTGCTCCATTTCTGGAGGGAAATCTGGATGGTGCTGATGTCAAAAGGGCCTTCTAGACCTTTGTCAGCTATAAAGCCTCAGAGCCCCTGTAATATAGGAGAAATGTTCAAATATGTTCATACTTCTCTTTTTTTATGTTTTTTTTTTCCTTTATTGATTTGAGAGAGGAAGGGAGAGGGAGAGAGAGATAGAAGCATCAATGAGAGAGAACATCGATTGGCTGCCTCCTGCATGCCCCCCACTGGGGATCGGGCCCACAACCTGGGCATATGTCCTGACCAGGAATCAAACCGGTGACCTCTTGGTGCATGGGTCAACACTCAATCACTGAGCCACACCAGCCGAGCAAGATGTATATTTTTATTATCCTCATTTTAGAGGAAACTCATCTCTCCAAACTGGTTTACAGTACCAGCTCGGCCCTGTGGGATTTGAGGTTTTGACCTCTGTTCTTTGGCCAATTACGTATGTATTATATTGAAAAGCTGATTGAAACCAAATGAGTAAGATCTCGATCTATATCTTAGTTCAAAAACCATGATAGAACTTTTTAATCAAATGCATTTACATTGTGATTTAAATACTTATTTAGACCCTATTTGATTCCTAGCACAGGAGATTCCATGTAAGTTTTTCTTTTCTAAGTACACTCTAGTTATCTAACATAATTTTATAATGCATCTTTATTTTTTAAGTGATCCATTTTGTTCTGAAACATGAAGCCAATGTACTTTAATATTTAAAAAAATTTTTTTTCTTTTTATTGATCTTACAGAGAGGAAGGGAGAGAAAGAGATAGAGAGAAACATCGATGAAAGAGAACATTGATTGGCCGCCTCCTGCATGCCCCTCACCAGGGATATTGGCCCACAGCCTGGGCATGTGCCCTGACTAGGAATTGAACTGGTAACTTCTTTGTGCATGGGTTGACGCTCAGCCACTGAGCCACATCAGCCAGGCTATAATGCATCTTTCTTAACTCAAAAATAATTTTAAGGTTTCCTTTTTGGAAGGACCAGATGTAGCAAATAATTTGTTTTTCAAATTCTGGAATATGAAGCTAATTGAAGCAAATAACTGAATTCATTGAGAGGTGAGTCATTTCCAATTCAGCGAGTCAGGGAAGAGTTTGGGGTAATATTTTCTTTTCTTTTTAAAAAAAAATCGTTTCTTGCCCTGGCCAGTTTGGCTCAGAGAGTCCCGGGTTCAGTTCCCACTAGGGGCACATACCGCAAAAATAAATAAATAAATAAATAAATAAATAAATATTTTTTTCTTTATTCTAGAGAAAGAGGAAGGGGGAGAGAGAGAGAAAAACATTGGTGAGAGAGAACATCAACTGGCCACCTCCTGCAGGCCCCCCACTGGGGATCAGGCACACAACCTGGGTATATGCCCTGACCAGAAATTGAACCGGCGACCTCTTGGTGCATGGATCAATGCTCAACCACTGAGCCACATGAGCTGGGCTTGGGGTAATATTTTCAGTATTTTAATTAGGAGTATAGTCACAGCTAGCACAAATGTAGAGATGTTGATTTTTTTTTTTTAATTGAGGTAGAATTGACATACAACATTATATTACTTTCAGGTATATAACATGATTCAATCTTTGTATATATTGCAGAATGATCACCACAATAAGCCTTGTTAACATTAGTCACCATACATAGTTACAGAAATTTTTTTTTTGTGATGAGAACTTTTAAGATTTACTCTCGGCAACTTTCAAATATGCAATGCAATATTATTAACCATAGTTACCATGCTATATATTATTTCCCCGTGACTTTTTATTTATTTATTTATTCATTTATTTATATTTATTTTTTTATCCTCACCCAAGGACATTTGCATTTATCTTCAGATAGAACAGGAGGGAGACAAGGAGGAAGAGAGAGAGAGAGAAACATTGATGTGTGAGAGACACATCGACTGGTTGCCACCCACATGACCCCAACCGGGGCCGGGGACAAACCAAAACTGAGGTACATGCCCTTAGCAGAAACCAAACCCAAGACTCTCTGGTCCACAGACTGATACTCTAACTGCTGAGCCAAACTGGCCAGGGCAACTTATTTATTTTATAACTGGAAATTTGTACCTTTTGAGTCTCTTCATCCATTTTGCCCACCCCTAACCCCTGTCTCTGGCAACTGCCAGTATGTTCTCTGTGTCTGTGAACTTAGTTTTTGTTTTTGTTTGAGATTCCACATATAAGTGAGATCATATGGTATTTGTCTTTCTCTGTCTGATTTATTCCACTTAACATAATTCCCTCATGGTCCATTCATGTTGCAAATGGCAAGATTTTATTCTTTTTTAGGGTTGAATAATATTCCATTGTGTGTATATGTGTGTATATATATATATATATATACATACATACATATATACACACACACACACACATTTTCTTTATGTATTCATCTGTCAACAGATACTTAGTTTGTTTCATATCTTGGCTATTGCATTGAACATGAGGGTGCAGATATCTTTTTGAGTTAGTTTTTTTGTTTGTTTGTTTTCTTCAGATAAATACTCAAAAATGGAATTGCTGGATCATATTGTAGTTCTGTTTTTAATTTTTTGAAGAAATTCCATTCTGTTTTTCATAATGTATCAATTTATATTCCACCAACAGTGTACAAGATTTCCCTTTTCTCTACCTCCTCTCCAACACTTGTTATTTGTTGATTGTTTTTAATGATAGCCATTATGACAGGTGTGAGGTGATATCTCACTGCAGTTTTTATTTGAATTTCCCTAATGATTAGTGATGCTGAGCATCTTTTCATGTACCAGTTGGCCATCTGTATCCCTTCTTTGGAAAAATGTCTATTCAGATCCCATGCTCATACTTTAATCAGGCTGTTTTGGAATTGTTTGTTTATTTGGTTTTGGGGTTTTTTTGCTATTGAGTTTTATGAGTTCTTTGTATATTTTGGATATTACCCCTATCAGATATATGGTTTGCAAGTATTTACTCCCATTCAGTAGGTTGCCCTTTCATTTTGTTGATGGTTTCCTTTGCTGTACAGAAGCTTTTTTGTTTGATGTAGTCCCACTTATTTAATTTTGCACTTGCTGCTTTTGCTTTTGGTGTCAAATCCCCGCAAAAAATTGTTGCCCAGACTGATGTTAGAAGCTTATTGCCTATGTTTTCTTCTAGGACTTTTATGATTTCAGGTCTTACATTCAAGC